GAGAGAAATTTTGCCTCCTGATCATCCTAACACAATCTGAAGTTAGGAACAATTACTGATCTCCAGTGTGGAAAGAAGACACAGAAACAGCAATAAGGAAGAAACAAAGACTAATCATTCCAAGTTAAAAAGTAGTTGGGTCTCCACCAAACTCAACAGGCTTCCAGTTCAAGTAGAAAAAGAGGTAGGTTTTTCATGCATGCAGTTGCCTAACCAAGTATTTCTTGCTGAACTTACCGCAGAAAGTAGCATGGGACTAGAACTTTGCACTGAGTCCAGAAGTCATGTTTTTCCATCCACTACTACCTGTTTTAAGTCTACTGGGCTATTAAATACAGAACTATTTTGGCTCAGTTCCTGTGACTTGAAAGAATATTTTTGGGAACTATCATTACATGTGTCTTGTACATTTCCCTAGACAACTGTTACTGGCCCCTGCAAGGGATATTATGCTAGATGGTCCTTAAGAAGGTACAGGCATCAGACAAATATTTTTAGGCTTTGTCCTGTCACTCTAACCCATATTCACCTCTCTCTCAAAGATAGGTGTTGACTAGTTAAGACAGTCTTATTACCCCCAGATTTTTCTTATAGACCCACTCAGCTTTGTTGAAAGACAAAAAACGAATCCAGGAGCCCAAAATCCTTCTTGTTAATGACTAGTTCACATTTGGGGTGTTATGGTTTTCTAATCTGTTAAGAGCTCCTGCTAATAGTTACAAATTGTTCTGAGATAGCAAGAAGCTAACTTAAAATAACCTTTCACAGGTGCACAGTATTCAGAACTCTGAAAACTGTATATTTAAGCAGACTACTACAACTAAGAATTTTTACAATACCCTATGAGGGGCCCCAATGTTTTGGGTTTTTTAAAAAATAATATTCACGTACAGCCAACATAATATTAAGTCTGCAACACTGGTTTCCATTCCGGAAAAGTGGCTTGAAAAGTATTCTCAAAAGGCTTCATTAGCTGAAGAAATAACCATGCAATGAGAAGTTAAGTGTGTGCTCTGACATTCCTACCACCTGCTACTATATTCACGAGAGGGGAAAAAAGAAAAAAAGACAAAAGCAGATGAGAGACTGCTTCATTACTGGTAGTATTAATTGCCAGTGCTTCTATGTCTTCTCATTGCATTCTGGTTTGTGTGGCATATATTGAGGTAGTACTCAGCCTTAAGCCCACCTCTAAATAAGAGACCCTCACGTACCCTATAAAAGGTAGTATTTCAGGATTGAACACTTAGCATGAACATGCTCTCAGTGGGTTGCAGAGTCAGAAATACTCTTCCCACCTACTGAAAGTGTTCCAACTAGTGATTTTATAAGAACCAAAGGACTAATCAAAGTGTTTCTTAATGCTGTTTAAAGGCTTACATACTGGATAAAGAGCATGGTAGGGACCACCAGAACTTGTGACCTTCAAAGAAGCAATCAGAGTAAAGGCTGGAGGGGTGTGACTTTTTAATGTTATTCATTACTAACTCAGACAGACTAAGAATTTTGAGAAATACAGGGAGTTCTGCAATTTGGCTCACTTCTCCTCAGTTGTGGTAAAATCCTCACCTTTTCATGTTCACCCCTTGTCCACCCCATCTTTGTCCAAGCTCCACCTACCAGTTATCCTTCACTTGCTGGATTGCTGACACTGAACATAGCAAGAATTATGGAAGGAATCAAAATACTGAGTCTGGAGTGACAGCCACTGGGGATGACGACTGATGGATCTAGAATTTGTAGAATGACATCCCTTTTTTTTTTTTTTTGAAGTTTTGTGAAAGTGTAGGGATGGTTGCTGGTCACTGCTTTAAGGGCAAGCAGGAACATGATGCTGGAACCACCCCACTTTTTTTTTGCTGTTTCTCACTCCATGTGCTGGAGAACAGTTGCTGTGGTCAAGGCACGGAGGCAAGGATAACACCACCAGATTTTGTTGGAGTATGAGCCTCTTCAGGCTGCAGTAAGAAAAATGGAACAGCCACAGCCTCACTGCTTTCTTCCATGAATAAGAAGAACTGGGAAGTGAAGATGGGAACCTCTTAGTCCATTTGTGAACATCACAAAATCTGCTGGGGTCAGACCAGAGAAGTCTCTCAAAACCTGAGCAGCATTAGCTAACCCATCATGTTTCCAAGTTCCTCCCATCCTGCTCCAAGTTTGTTCTCCTCTCACCAGAACACAGAGGCATTTCTTAGTGGGCAAACTGAACAAGAGAAATTATTCTTGGTGTTTCCAAATCTCCACACTTTGTACAGATTTGATGCATTACACCACAATTGGACCAAAATCCATGCAGGATCAGAGTGAGTAGCTGTAAGTGGAGACTGTCTCCTATGGATCCCCTTTCCAGCTGAAGCCTCAGCTTTGCACTGCCAATTAGAAAGAGAGCATCACACTTCTTCACAGTGCCTTATCAAATTTTGTGCTGTCAAAATAACAGCTTCTATAAAACTAACATTTGCCTGAATATCGAGTGTTCATTTCTCTAAAAAATTGACAAAAAGCTCATAATCCTAACACGAGGAAATGCTGGTAACAGTTTGTTTCATTTTACACAGCAGGTACTGTTCAATTAGCACATACTTTTTGCCACAGCACATATTTTACCATATCTGAACCTGTACAAATATTTGTAAGCATATTTACTCAATATTTTCTCTATTGCTCAGAGGTTTCTAAATTTGCCAGTCATTTAAAACTCTTAATTAGAGACTGATTGTCAAATGGATGTTCTTAGATTACAGTGGAGACAGAGGGCATAACAGGAGCACAACAGCTAGCATTAGTGGAAAGATTTGCATTAATAGGGGAAAAATGTAGTATTTTAAATGACTGGTGAGAAGAAACTGAGCATCGCCAAATCCTTGAATTCATCTAACAGAAACAGAGGGCACTCACTTTTGACTCTGAAAGTCAGAATTTTGCCTAATTACTAAGATGCTTCTGCACATAATACTGAGCACAATGCGTCAGGAAGAGCTTTTAATAACATCTTAGTAAAGCAGGTATTCAAAACTGGCCTTTCACTTCTCTCATGTGCACAGACATATCCCCTCTGCTGTCACTGACTGATGGCTTGGAAAGAGCCAGTTCCACCATAACAATGAAATCCTGATTTTGTGCTGTGAACAATGGCATTCTGCAAAACACCCTGTGCTTTCTGGCATAACAAGGCTACACCACTTGAACTGTTCAAATACACACAACTAGAAGGAAAAGCTTTAATCTAAAGAATACATGTGATCCATGTCATTATTCCTGCAATATCCAAATGCTTTGCAAACATTTGTATCCTCTAAGTTAAAGTGATCACTACCTACCACATTTTGATGCCTTCTTTCAGTAGCAGCTCAAGTTACACTTTTTTTTTTTTACATCAAGCACAGCCCTGTCCCTAACAGTGAGCTGAGCAGAACCCACACATGAGGGTGTGTGATAGATATGTACAGTATGTTGCAGCAGACATAGGTAACTGAGACACTGGTGAATTATAAACCAAGAAATTTCAATATACAGCAAAATTCAAGAGTGACAGTCCTTGCTTACCCTTACAACAGAAGTTCAAAAGGCAACTGTTATCAGTAAGTGCATGGGGAAGGAGGAATAGTTAATCACGGTGAATAAGAAAAGCTAAGAGAACAATTCTGGCACACACGAGAACCTAAAAACTAACCACAGAGAAATTTAGGGTGGAAATTGCAAGTTTTCTAGCCATGAAACAGTGAATCTGATCAGAGCCATGGGGTCAATGCATCCATCAGTTCCGCTGAAGCTCAATAAATTTATTATAGGATCATCTAACATACTTCTGCAAAGATAGCCTCTGGGTCCAACCCCTTACTTTGTCTATGCTGCTAAACTGACCCTTGGCCCTGAGGCCAAGTGGCACAGACTAGCTCGTGTTCCTCAGGCCTCCATCAGCATTACATGGCACTTGGCCCAGGGTTTCCTTAAGGCTCCACGTCTCGAGAGTCCCACGACACCACATACCTACCTTGTATGTCTGAGTTCAAAGTGCATAAAGAAGCGAGATGACTTTTTTGCAGCCCACCAGAGAGGTATTCTCAGAGCATGAAACAGAGTATGTGTTGCATATCCCCCAGTATGGCCTGAGGGAAGGAGGAGGGTTAAGCATACCATCTCAGTAGGCTTTGCATTATAAGCCTATACAGGATGACTGGTTTCTTGCAGCCTTTTTTCCACCCTGCCCACCGGAGCATCATTGGAAGAGCAATGTTCAGGCTTTGTTCTGGAGAAAACTAGTCAGAGTGGTCCAAACCAGATAGGAATAGAGTTAATGTTTATGCCTAACCTAGAACAGTACATGAGACCAGGATGTCAGCCTTCAGATCCACCCCCAGCCCTTTTCTGTAGCACTGCAGATGCATAAAGTAGTTGTAGAAGACATCTTCCAACTTAGTTTGGTTGTACATACACAATTACCATCAGCTTTATTTAATAAGCAACATTGAAGCTCTAGTGAGAAAGTGCCATCATTCCCAAGCTTAGCTAATGGAGCACACCATAAGATTGTACCATCTCTGAACAAGCCAGTCAGGAAAAAGCACAGAGAAAGTTCAATTTACACAAACACTGTGATGATTAGCAAAAGCAGAAAGGAAAACATGACAGTTTAATGAGATTTTAGCAGTGATTCTATGTGTTTCTGTATCTACAAGAATTTTTTTATGCAGATTTTTTTCATATATACTTGTCTAGTCTGTCAACTGTGTTACCAAGATTAATAAGAAACTGCTAGAGTTTAAATGATCTGTGAATTACAAAATAGGTTGTTTATTCATCACAGCAAACACTTTGTGTTACAAAGTTGTGATTTTTTTGAAGGAGGTGAAGACTAAGATTCTCGAGGGGAAGGGCAGTAGTTAGACCAATTCCTAGAAATCAACTCATCTCTCCAAGCTGTTAATAGCTACTGCGTTTTTTAAACATCACAGGCTCCGCATATTTTGGAGTTAACTGAAAAAAAATAAAATTCTCTCTTTGTACAAAGATTCCTCACAAATTTATACAGCACTTTTGGATGAAATTGGTCAGGTTACATTTCAGTGCCTGGAACATGCTCAGGTGCCAGAGACCACCCACACTGGTCTTATTTCAGAACTGAGACCTTACAGCAGCATAAAGATTCAACCAAAATCAATATTCTGTTTTCAGTGCTTTATATGTAATCGATGGGCTAACACTTGTTTCCTCACCCTATAAATAAGGAGCAGTCATACCAAATTGTGGCATTATTGTCACAGCATTATACATAAAACCAGTGGTTTAGAGCAGAGTTCAAATTTGGCAGGACCTGGCCCTAGTGTCAGGAATACATCTCTTATGAAAACCAGCACAAAATGGTCTCAAGCTTAAGAGTTAACATTAGAGGTTTTATAATAAATTGGTAAAGTGAACAAGGACAAAGTACTGGGGTTTTAAGAACTCAAAAATATCAAACTGATGAATTATGTGCTAGGCATATCATCTTTCACTTCAACGCTACGGCAAACCAGAAAATGCAATGCTGGTTTTTAGAGAGAGCTCTGGGTGAACACAGGTGCTGTCAAAACTCATGCAGGTTTAATTTCTGTATCAGACCAATTGTTAAAGTTACAAGTAAGAACCAGAATTGTTAGGCAGAGATAAATACTGTACACGAGAAAAGAATCAGTATTTCTTTATAAAAGCTGAATTCCTGTGCCAATTTCCGCCCACCCATGTAGAGGGAGGGGAAAATTTCTCAGAACTCTTGTTCTGTTCTGTGATTCTTCCCCCTGCCATTCCTGAGCACAGGACAGACTGAGATGCAGCACAGGATGGAGCTCCTAATACCTGCTTTTTCTGTGCCAATGGCTTCTGCTGCATTGCTCTGACTCGCAGAGGTGCAGCAGGAGCTGGAGTGGGAGCAGAAAGATGAAGGGGGACTTAAGGAAGCACTGGGAGTGTATGCTCTCTTATCAGTCCTGACCAAGCTTTCTTCCCAACATCAGCTATTAGTAGGCCACAAGGCAGCTCTCAACTCCATTTCCACACCCAGCAGTCAGCACTCCTGGCATGAAGCTTGAGGCAGCACAAGATTCACAGAGGACCCTTCAAAGCACACTTACAGAAGGCCAAACTACGCCTGCTGCAAAGAGAAAGACAGGATCCAAAGCAGCACTCAACCATACTTAACAGGAAACTGTCCTTGCTCTTCATTCCTTTTGCCCATTTAGTACATGAGGATCAAATTAGAGGCTGAATTAAACAATGAAAGTCACCTCACCCATAGCAGAGTAAATCCACCACACACCAGATCAGGCAAAAATGGCATAGAATGACAGAATGCAAACACACAGTTCAGGACAAACAAAATTCAGTTCCTTCAAAATATGTATTACCTGTGCCATCAACACCTGACATGGAAATTTCCCACAAACAGTGGAATTTACAATTTTAATACCTGTATTTTAGAGCCAGTTGTTTTGCATATACACACTCAGTAATTTCTGTGGAGACGAACACATAGAAGCAGCAATCATCTGCACACACTGCAACTGTGTGCTAATGAGCTGCTTTATATTTACAAGCTTTCACCACACAATCCAAAATGGCTAATACTTATGAACATACTTCACCAGGAAGTCAGTCCTTCATTAAGACTGTTGTCATTTATTTTGAGAGCTGTGATTTTTATCCTGGTGTATCACATACGGGTACATTTAAAAAAATCAGGTGTGGAAGAAAAACTCATCAATACTTCACCAGCTGAATTTTCACATATACAGACATCACAAGTCTAACCTGTCAACCACAAGAAGCCTTACCATAAGGATATTTTGTGTCCAGTCTATGTGCTGCTGTTCTTGTCCAGGGTAGTACATCATCGCTGCAACCATTAGGCATCCCATTGTAGCCAATTCCAACAATCTTATTTTCTGAATTTACAATGCAGGCACCAACCTAAATAAAAATAAGATTTGTATAGTGCCAACAGCACGCAAAACAATACATCAACAACAAGACCTGAATAGTCAGTCCTACAATTTTCATTTAATATAATGTAATTAATATATTAAGTCAACACTATCTAGTGAGCAAGGCTACAATTGTACCTTGGGGCTTTAAAATACATCAGGGCAATGAGGGGTAGCAATAAACCCTCCTACCCCCCTGGCCATGCCAGCCTGCCAGCACTGTTCCTTGCCCAATTATGAAGTGAACCTAGTTCATGGAGCAGAACTGGCACTGAATTAATCCTACTAAACATGTCAGTTCAACTCTCCATACTAGCTTTTCCAGCAGCAGTATGAGCAGCAGCAGCAAAAGAAAAGGTATGAAAGATGGAATGGAAATGCAGTAATGTTGGCCTATGCAGAGACAGGCTTAAAAGTCTTACAAACATGCACTAAAATACCAGACCTTTTAACTCCAACCCTTTATCGCTTCAATCCAAGTCTGCAAGGGGATCTTCTTATCGACTGATATAGAAGTGTCTCATTTTTATGTTTTCTGCCCATATTATTTATTGAAACAGCAACAGTACAAATTTTAATTCACACAACGTGTTTATCAACCAGCTCTTGGGTAACAAAAGTTTAGCCCAAGTGAATCCCTTTCAGGGAGCTAAGTGCTGTAACATACAGAAGGCAGTGAGTAATTGAACAGATTGCTAACATGTATTTTATTCCATGGCTTTTTTGGGATTTGCTCCCCGAATTTTTTTCACACAAAGGAAGACTAACAGGACAACTGAATCCTGCAGAACATCATGTTTCAGGAAATGTATCAATTGCCTCAAACTAATATTGAATCGAGGTACATGAAAGCTGCAAAAAATGGGGACAGACAGTGAAGCAGAGGGGAAGGGGGATCCTGAGAGAGGAACCAAACTAAAAGAAAACTCTAGTCAACCCAAGAACAAACAAAGGGGAATTTTTATACTCTTACAGGTGACGAAAAGCAACTTGTAAAATGCTGTGTCTTAAAAAATTACAATCTAAAACTTTCAGCAGTTTTATCCTCCCCTAAAAGTGACTATATTTACTGGAAAATGTGTTATTTTAACTTCCAGATGAAAAGATAATTTACAAAGCTCCAAGCTGCAAATGTACACACAGAATTATACACACGAGGTCAGGCCAAACAGGAGAATTTCTGTAACAAAAGGTGCTGACTACGTTAAAAATTGAATAGCTATACACTGAAATAACTTTTATTAAGAAATCCCTCAAAGTGCTACATGTGCATCCGATGCGATGTGCAATATAGATTAGGTTATGTTGTTATTATATGTTGCCTTCTTACCTGAGAGCTTGGATCCTTGCTTCTTTGTGCTGACAAAAAAGCTACTGCCATAAAATATTCAGGCCATTCCAAATAATCCTCTCGTTTTTTGCAGGATGCTTCACTGCTGAAACTATAGTTTATAGGAAAAAAAACAGCCATCAGCAAACAACACAGACCCAGAGTTACTACAAATTGTGTTCTTTTAATGTGCACAACTTCAAAGTAACCAGGATCAGAATGTGGCTAAGATTACACATTCACTAATATTTTTAATAGCAAAATCATCCGTGCTTTCCAGGAACTTATATATGCAACATTTCCTTTCAGGGCAAAGGCACCCAAGCAAGGTTGCAAATTTCAGTTTTAGATAAGATGGTTGAGCTAGTCAGAGCACTGAGCTATCCAAAGACAGAGCAATTTATCCTTTATAGATAACACCTTGTATATTTCTAAGATTCAGGTACATCATGTTCTGGCATTCTTTTCACCCAAACAACACAATGGTTTTTATGATGACTGTGATAACTGCAAGGCTCTAATCCAAGTTATTTTGTACTTCTGCCTACAACAAGTGCTTGCTAGATTTCTATTTGGTGGCTTTCTCTGTGCTCATTTTTTTCTGACTGTACAGTTATCACCCTAAGTTTGCCTCTTGTTACAACATTTACCACCAAAAATCTGAGGCCATTCCAATAGGCCCCTGCTAAGTTTCTCTTGAGAATATGTCCTGTGAAAGCCTTCTGAAAATTGACAGGAGATAGGCTCAAGAACTTTTCCTTAAGATATAATGTATAAAACTGCCATGAAAGGTTGCTTCTTTCCCTGCACTGAAGGGTATGTTTGGGGGAAGGAGGAAAGAAAAATGCATCAATTTCTCCTACCTGCTTATGGGTGAAAGCCTGCTTGGACAGTGCAAGACACAACAGGGGAATTTCTGTGCTTTTCAGCTCAGAGATGAAAGACAGACATCTCTCTCACCCCCCATATTTAAGCTTTGAAAATTTCAAGACAAAGATCAAATTCTAAGAAATTTCCCAAAACTCTCTCACCTATCATTGCTACAGCTTGAAAAACAAAACAATGGAACATCTCAAACACAATTATTAGCCTATCAAAATACAAGGGCACAGTACTTTCCTTTTTGGGCTCCTCTTACCAAGGACTACAGCTTAAGACTGACATACACTTCTAGTGATGTACAGCCACACAAAAAAATACATCACAGGTAACTGAAAGCAGCAAGACATCTCCTAGCAACACTATAGTACCTGCACTTTCAGAAGACAAACATTAGAAGACAAGTATTTTGTTAATCATTGTTTTTATAACCAAAACCATGTATTAGAGGCTTGCAGTTAGCTTGTCATAAAGAGGTTACACTATTCGAGTGAAGGCAATGTCAGCACATGATAAAACTGTACTTTAGAAACCTACAGGGTGCTGTTTACCAAAGATAAATTACTGGGTTTGAATAGTTTGGATGTGCCACATTACAAGTTAGCAATTTTAGTTTGTTCTTAGAGTGAATGAGGATCATCTTTAAGGCTCTTGTCTCAACAGAAGGAGGGAGAAACACTCTTGGTGTAGCCCACACACCTCTCTCACACTTTTGATGACACTGTAAACAGGGCTCAGAACTGTCAATTGTCAAAGCATACACACAAATCAAGTACTGATTCTGAGAGCACCCAAACTGGCTTGAATCACTGTAACTGATTGGGGCAATATCCTACCAAAGTGTTCAGAGAACTAGATGCTCAGAGCAGAAAGAAAAGATTAGAGATATGCCCTCACACCTCTCCATGCCAAACAACTTCAACAGGTTAGCTGAAATGCCAAGAAAGTGTTTCGGCTAATTGATTATTTATCTCACTAAAATAGATTCCCTAAACATAAAACACCATTGGACTTTGAAAGATCAGTTTAATACACTCCTGGCTACATGACATTCACAACGATGTCTTTGGGGAAGGATGAAACACAATGCAGAACTACACTGGAAGAAAACATCCTGGGGAAAAGTGTGAAGTCATTAAAAACTGCTTAATTTCTGACTGAGAAGAAACCAGGGCCTTGGCTGGCAGTCAAGCACACATAGGAAAATTAAGTGTATGGATGTGAGGCACCTGATCATCTTCTTTATGTTCATTTGCAAGTTCTAGAATTGCATGAATGAAAACTATTCTAGAAAATTCTATAGCTAGCTGTAAAATAAGCAATTAAAGTTCATCCTTATAAGAACTTGTGAACAAAAATAATGGAAACTGAAAGCCATGAAGAAAACACTGCTCAGGAAGGAGGGGGGAAAAACCCTTAAATTTTAGAAGTCTGTAAAAAAGTCTCCATAAACAGTACTTCAAGGGAAAACAGAGAAAAAGATTCCATAAGTAGAGGACAGTGCTTGTGTTGTCATGTTTTTTCATCCACCTAGGCTTCAACCAAGCTCTAACACCATCTGAAAAGGAACAAATGTCACTCAGCTGCTGAAAAAAACTACAAGAATGAAAAATTTAGTCAGGAATCCTAAACCAGAATATGTCACCTCAAATATTTTCATATGACAATTATGATGGTCAACTATATAAGAATATAGTATAACCAGAGAATACGTGGGTATTGGACTTTTTGCCCCCTCTTTTTTATGGTTTTTCCTCTGCATTCTTATCTTTGATGTCACGTGCATTATGTTACAACTATATTCTAGTAGTATTTTTCTCCAGGATCAAATACGCTACTGAAGATCAACTATCAATGCTTTGCCACTCAACTCACAGAAACTGAGATAACACATGAATTAAAAGTAAGAATTAAACATTGCTCAAGGAGCAATGTTCTTGTTCCCTAAACACCAAACAGGATACAGGCTCTTGATAACCTTCACTGCAAGCTGCTTCTTTAAGTGCCATAAATTTGTTCATGATTAGATCAAGTGAATGTGGCATTTTCCTCACTTGAGGCTTCTCACCTTTCCTGTCATATAGGTACTGATATATGGCCATTACCTATTCCTTACTGGGCAACAGAGAGAAAAATCAACCTTTCTCACAGGGAAACTATACTCTGTGCATCAAGTTAACTATATTCAAAGTTTTCTTGGGAGACAGCCCACCAAACCTGTAAGGATAAACACTCCACAGAAACACTGAGCCCAAATCGAAAGAATATTTCCATACACTGAACAGATTTCACTTTTAGAGTCACTTCTGACATCAATTCACTGCATACTGCTCACCCAGGTCTCCATTCCCGGAAATAAGAAACACAAGACACCCTACCCCGTCCTTTAGCTACCCCAGCGACCGCAACACCCGACTCAAACAC